CCCGGCCCGCCAGGGTGCTTACCCTGGCAAGCCGCGTGCCGAATGTTGCTGACCCCTGCTCTATAAACTGCCCTCCACTGGAGGGTGATATGCTCACTGGAGCAGCTCTGATTCACCCAGCAGAGGGCAGCAGTACACATTCCATACTGTGTGATCATGCAAAAGTAGTACCTTTACTTGTGGGAGAGGGGAGGGCTTTTTATTTATCGGGTCAGAAAAATGGAGTGGGGTCTTTGTCTATGCAATTAGGAAGGTAGAGTGAGAGCATATGCATTGTTCTGTCCACTACCTGCTCCTGAAAATGCACTCCGGAGAGAGAATCTACCCAGTATCATGCGTGCGGGTAGCAGTGAGACAAGAGTGGAAGCCGTGGCTGTCACCTAAGGAGGATGGCTGCACTTCTGAGAACTCTTATCCTGTGTGGTCGCTGCAGTTCTACATCTGGCTTGTTCTGGCTCACTAGGGAGAGCGAGAAGACAAAGCTGCTGATTGCGGCTCAGAAGCAGAAGGTCGTGGAGAAGGAAGCAGAGACGGAGAGGAAGAAGGCCCTGATTGGTCTGTATATGCATCTCCCATAGATGTGGCTGGTTGGGAAACTTTCCAGGTGTGGGTGGGTGTCTAACCCAAACACCTCTCTGGAAGTACATGCAGCGCAGGTGCCACGGCTGGGTCTTGTGCGAGCAGCAGTGTAGTGGCTCTAAGAGATTTTAAATAAGGCGACCGTAAACAAGATGAACATTGGCTGTTTATATGAAGTGGGAAGGGGCAGAGACTGAAGTTTGGGGAGGGTGAGAGAAGCTCTAGCACATCTCTAGTCGAGCTGGTTCTGTCCAGAGTCTGTCAACAGCAAGCACAGTGACAGCCATAACTGCACCGCTGAATGTATGAACTAAGGGATTCGCTGTGAATTTCTCTACTGTAAAATTCTGTGTTTGGATTAAATGTGCAGTCACAGGTTCCTGTGATTAAGTCTATTTTAAAATGAGTTCCCCCTAATTTGGGCTGCTGCCGGGAGTTCTTTGAACAGCTCCGTATCTTGTAGATAAGGACACTGAAAATGCAGAGTGTTCTCTTTCTGCTTGATACCCATCTCTTACTCATGTAAAGCCTCCAGCACAGCTCTGGACTTTTCAGATGGTTTTCCTGTGCTTGCTTTGCCTACAAACGTCCCTTGATGTGACGCTGAACCTCTTGGGGGCTGAAAATGTCTGCATGGGTATGTCCACACTGCAGTCTGAGGTGTATGTGCAGCATGTGTAAACATACCTAAGGTAGGTTTAATCTAGCTAACTGGGGCATCAATAGCAGTGAAGCCATGGCAGCATAGGCTAGCCACCCAAGTACGTACCCCGGCTCCCTGGTGGCTTCGCTGATATTGGGACCTGAACTAGCTAGATCAAAGCTAGGTCACATGGGTCTACACCTACTGCAGTTGTACCTCCAGTTGCAGTGTAGATCTACCCTATACGGATTGGGTTTGCCAGAGGAGTATTGCTCCTGTGGGAAAGGAGCTCGGATCATAACTCTTTGGGCATCGAGATGTTTCCTTTACTGCTGCAGAGGCAGAAAAAATTGCCCAAGTGGCCGAAATAACGTACGGACAGAAGGTGATGGAAAAGGAAACGGAGAAGAAAATTTCAGAGATTGAAGGTGAGCAACAACCTTTCCAATAAACAAATTTATTTGTGCTTCTTCTCGGAAGATTTCAAAGCACATCACAGATATTTTAGTTAGTCCTCACGATACTGCTATGAGGTGGGGCAGTATTATCCCTATTTCTCCTATCAGTAAACTGAGGCACAGAGCGAGCATGTGAGTTGGCCAAAGTCTAACCACAACACGACTGAGCCCCTGTGTGAAAGTATAGAGGCCTTTCATATTGAACCCTGGTGTATGGTTGATGCGATAATCTTTCATGTGACCCTCAAAATGCATTGCAACTTTCAAAACTTATTTGTCTGCATGCTCAGCTTCTTCCTTCATTTCACACTGGAGCGCTTGGAGGGACTAGGTCAATTGGGAGAGTAGGACGTGTTTGCTCTGGCAAATGTACCAGAGTTGGAGAGCCCCAAACAAACTCCAAGACACTTGTCACTGCAGCACAGGAGGCAGACAGTGTGATTGTCAACAGTATTGCAGGAGCCAGCACTGCAGACTCCCACTGTTCCCACAGAGATTTGTTACCACCACTACAGTGTGTGGGACACACCTAAGAACCAGGCAGAACATCTTCCAGAAGCGGGAATATGCTAGAACTTCATTAGGAAATCCTCTCAGGGTGGGGTGCTGCCATGCCATTCCATTCAGGCACCCACATTGTTCCATGGAAGTTTACATCTGCCCCTCTTTCTTCAGAATTTTTCTAAAATGTGGACACCTGTCAGGAGTTTTCAGTAAACTTAGCTCTAGATTTTTGGTCTAGTCAAAAGGAAAAAAAAAAAGGACCAGTTCTGAGATAAGCAGAGACCTGCCTTGCAGCTTTTGAGATCCAAAGATCAAGGTAGGTGTGTGGAGAGGTGATGGTGTTTGGGGGGGAGGGGAGGGAGGAAGGGCGGGAATCTCCCTAGGCTAAACAAGTGAGTGTTTCTCTTTAAGCATTATCAGCAGTAAACAAGCCCTATATTCTGTCTTCTCCTGTCATGGATTCCTGCATTATTTACACCCATCTGGAGTTGCTTTTGTTTCCTTTAGGAGCCAGTGTTGACTAGGGGCAGGAATAGAAGCATTTCCTTGCAAATTATCTCTCTAATAATTTTTCTTTTCCAAGGCGATGGTTCTGAGTGCTTTATAGGAGCTTGAGCTCTTAACTGAGAGGGCTTTTTCCCCATGCAGTGCCTTGTGTCAGGCAAATTCCAGGACAAGAAAAGGGCTCTGCCTCTCTGGCTCAGAGCTGCAAGGCCCGATTTCCAATTATGTTCATTATAGGCCCTGTCAAGCTTTGCAGAAGCCCACTGAGGAGCCAATTAGAGTTTTACAGATCAGCAGCTTCTCATTAAGAAGTTCCCAGCAGAACTACGATAGTTTTTATTTCTTATGAATACATGTCACCAGGTGCCAGGCCTTCGCTCCTGTTCCATACCAGGCAGTGGCCCGTGCGTCCTGCAGGCAGGGACTTTCTGCCCTGCGTCAGCCCTTCCAGCTGCTCTTACTGAGTCGGCAGAGCTGTTCTCATTAGTTGGCCAAATGGAGCGAAGCCTCGATTCCCAACCTTCCAGCTGCTGGTATTGTTTTTAAATGTGGACATTCTCCCTATTGGTGGAGATAAAGGAATGGTTTATCCAGTTGTTTGCTTTGAAACAACTTGAATAGGACCCCAGTGCACTCTGACAAGCTTGGATTGGGGAATGTTATTGCTTGCTGAGTTGGGTGCTGTCAAGGCTCCTTCCCCACTCTGAACTTTAGGGTACAGATGTGGGGGCCTGCATGAAAACTTTTAAGCTTAACTACCAGCTTAGATCTGGTCCGCTGCCACT